GAGGGTGTCGGGGGGGGGGGGTGCAGACTCCTCCCTCTCGAGGGTGGGCTGGACTCAGTGACTAATGAAGGAAGCGTGAAAGGCAAAAAGAGTCACCCTACAGAGGAGAAACCTGGCAGACGCCCCCCACCCAGGTGATGAAGGTCAAGGTCACGGTGATGTAATCGAGGTGTCGGGGACCTCCTGACAGCATGTGATGCGATAGTACGTGAGCCCCACCCTAAAGCCCCTAGTCCCATCTCAGCAGAAGACGTCAGAGGCACTTTCACCTGAGCCCGAGTGAGCGGACCCCAGAGTCAGGCGGCCAAGGACAAGGAGGGACAGAGGGACCATCACAGACAGGAGGGGCCGTGGAGACGTGGTGACGATGCCGTGGCGGGTCCCGCACGAGCCGGGAACAGGAGAGGACACGCACGGAAAAGCTGGTGACGTGAGTCAAGTCGGCCGTGTTGGGCTGTTCGCTTTGACCAGTGCCCCAGGCGACGGGGCACGGGGGACCCTGCACCATCTTTGTGACTCTTTACGAAAACTCACAGACCTGTAGAAACTGCACAGGTGGAGTGGAGGGTTCTGGGACTGGCATCCAGGTTGGCGAGGGGCGGGCGGGGAGTGGAGCCTCTGTCTCGGGGAGAGAGTAAAGCCTCAAGTAGATGGGGACCAGGAGCGTTTGTGTCACCAGTAGCCCTTTCTGTGACTTGCCCGCCTTAGGGGCTAAGTGTCACGTTGGACAACTTTGTAAGTGAAACGGATCCTCACGTGCTTGACTTCAGATCCAAGATGAGGGCTCACCCCACCTCTCCCCAGGCCCGGGACCTCCTGCAGGAAGACCCTTTGAGGGTCCCTGGTGGACAGTCCCACAGAGGCTGAAAGGAGAGACTCCCTCACGTGAGCACCGGCCTGAGGCTGAAGAACGGGAAGACGGGACCCCAGGGCAGGGAGGGACGGCACAGGGAAGCCACCCTGGCAGGAGGCAGCGGGAGAGAGCCTGGGGAAGACTGCCTGTGAGGGACCCACCAAGACAGCAGCAGGAAGCTGGCCCTCAGGTGGCCCCAGAAATGAGCTGCGGGACTTGGTGCAGCTCTGGGGTCCCAGACACCCCTCCCTCCCCAGAGACATCACACAGCTTTGGGACATTACCCAGAGCCTCTTGGAAAAGGGGAGCTCAACCTTCCCTGGAGGATGGTGTGTGATCTGGACTAGAGGTGTCCTACGGGCACTGACCCCCACCATTGATTCGGGCCACTGGACAGGGAGACACCCCCCACCGAGGGCAAAGGAACATGCACCCCTCAGGGTTGCCCTGGTCACCCCTGGGCAATGGGCGAGCAGTCACAGGAGCGGCTAGGTCTGAGTCCCCCCTGCCCAGCCCTGGTCTAGCCACCCCACACCCCACAGCCGCAAAGGGACCAGGTCCTGAGCATCAGCTTCCTGTACACTCTGGGCTCCCCAGCCCCATCCCCAGGCCACCTGCCACATGCAAGGCCCCTGGCTGGGCCGTGGTCACAGCCACAGCCTCCAGCATCAGGCTGTCCATCTGT